AACAAGAGCGAAACTCCGTCTCAAAAAAAAAAAAGAAAAAAGGTATGTCCACGAATGCAGAAAACATATGTAGATACTAGTCTATTTTGTCATTTGCTGCCATAAAATATACACGTCTATTATAGAAGTTAAAGTATATCAAACTTATACACAAACACTTAGAGATAGTACATGACATCATTCCCAGTTGAGAAAAATGTAAGCAAACGTGAAGACACAGTATTAAATTGTAACTGTATAAAATTAACTTAGCAATACTGTGCTAACATAATAATTTCATAGCCACTTTCTGTTGCTATTGCCATGAGCTCATGTATTGTGAGAATCCATTAAAAACACAGTGCTACCCAAAAAATCTCCATGTGAGCAACTGGTCTTTCTGGTAAATTGCATATGGCAGCAAAAAGTGATCTCTTGTGGTTTGGTTCTTACATAGTTTTCATCATGTTTAGTCAATACTATAAACCTTGAATAACACCATAGGACCCATATGAGCGCCACTAGCGATGCTGGAAGTACTCCCAAGAAGCAGAGAAAAGTCATAATATTACAAGAAAAAGTCGAATGACTTGATATATACTGTAGATAGAGGTATGTGGCTGTGATTGCCACCCTTTCAGACAGACGATTCAGCTTGCAAACAGATGACTTAAACTGAATGGCATTGATAAATAAATACTGTAAATGTATTTTCCCTATGATTTTCTTAATAACATTTTCTTTTCTCTAGCTTGCTTTACTGTAACAATACAGTAGATAATATATATAGCATACCAAATATGTATTAATCAACTGTTTTTGTGTTTGGTAAGGCTTCTGCTAAAGAGTAGGCTATAGTAGTTACGTTTTTGGAGAATCCAAAGTTATAGCAGGCCAGGTGCGGTGACTCACGCCTGTAATCCCAGCTCTTTGGAAGGCAGAGGCAGGAGGATCAACTGAGGTCAGGAGTTCGAGACTAGTCTGGCCAACATGGTGAGGCCCCGTCTCTACTAAAAATACAAAAATTAGCCAAGCATGGTGGAGGGCACCTGTAGTGCCAGCTACTAGGGAGGCTGAGGTGGGAGGATGACTTGAAGCCAGAAGTTGGAGGTTGTAGTGAACCAAGATCATACCACTGCACTCCAGCCTAGGTGATACAGTGAGACTCTGCAGAAAAGAAAGAAGAAAGAAAGAAGGAAAGAAAAAAGAAGGAAGGAAGGAAGGAAGGAAGGAAGGAAGGAAGGAAGGAAGGAAAGAAAGAAAGAAGGAAAGAAAGAAAGAAGGAAAGAAAGGAAGGAAGGGAAAGAAAGGAAGGAAGGAAAGAAGGAAGGAAGGAAGGAAGAAAGAAGGAAAGAAAGAAAGAAAGAGAGAGAGAAAAAGAAGGGAGGGAAGGAGGGAAGAAAGGAAGGAAAGAAGGAAGGAAGGAAGGAGCAGATTTTTGACTGTGTGGGAGGTTGGCACCCCTAACTCCCTCATTGTTCAAGGGTCAGTTGTACATACAAACATACATAGAAAAATTCTGAAATAGGCCGGGCACGGTGGCTCACGCCTGTAATCCCAGCACTTTGGGAGGCTGAGGTGGGTGGATCACAAGGTCAGGAGATTGAGACCATCCTGGCTAACATGGTGAAACCCTGTCTCTATTAAAAATACAAAAAAATTAGCCGAGCATGACGGCAAGTGCCTGTAGTCCCAGCTACTTGGGAGGCTGAGTCAGGAGAATCACTTGAACCAAGGAAGCAAAGGTTTCAGTGAGCTGAGATCGTGCCTCTGCACTCCAGCCTGGTTGACAAGAGCTAGACTCTGTCTCAAAAAAAAAAAAAAAAGAAAAGAAAAGAAAAATAGTGAAATAAAATATACATGTTTACTGAATCCTGCCTCAAGAGAAAGCTAGAAGTGTGGATTAGGACTCTATTCCATCTGGGAAGCTGGTTCTGCACGGCTGTGGGTCGGCATAGAAGGGAAGGCTGTTTACCACTATGGGATACAGAAGGTCTGGCGATGGAGCAAGGTGGAGCATCTCACTCACAAATCCAGAAGGCACTTAGGACCACGCAGGGACAAGTGCACTTCCAGGATTTTTCCCAGGGCCAGAAGATCCTAACAGCATTCCTACGTGACACTCCTCTTTCAAAGTACGGTGGAAAGAACCCCATCTTAGAGAAGACCAGGTGGAATTCTGCCTCTTTCAAGCTGTTGGATTCAAATAATGCTTGTAGAGTAGAAATCTGAATTTAAACTGAGCAAGAAAAGGTTACAGCCTATGGTTATCGGGATTCTGATGGTGGGGGCTATGTCACCTGTTCAGTTGCTTCTTTGCTTTAATAGGAAATGAACTCTCTTTTGGAGCAGCAAATCTGAGAAGGGGTCATGAGGAAGTGCCTTTCCCTGGGTGCCTTGGAGGGTCAAAGCTTCAGGGTGGTAAACAAGGAGAGGTGAGGAGAGCACCGGGCTGAAAATCCGTCTCCATGGGCCTGGTTGTAGCTCTTATTTCTCAACTGCACTGTGACCTTGGAGAAGTCACTTTCTCTGCATCTCATCTTCATTTATAAAATGGGCATAGTAGCACCTACTCCGTTTGCTTCCCAAGGTTTAGTGAAGTTTAAATTAGCTTGTTAGTCACTGTGAAATTGTCTTGTAATGCAAGTCTCAGGGATGATTATGTGTCTTCTCTGCTGGCTTGTTATTACGGGAGGATTTAAATCTCGTGTGGCCTTGTGTTTGCTATGTAGTTTGGGATGAAGGGGGTATCACACT